CCTACCTCCCTACTTCACTGAGGACTTCACACTGTTGATGTAAACAATGAATAAGTACTGAAAACAAGTGCACCCTGATAGAGTAATAAAATTAGCGAGGCATGTTGGGCTTCCTATTTTAGGATATGACTTCCTATTCCACTTCCTAGGAGAGGGTATGACTTCCTGTTAAACTTCCGAGCAGAAGGTCTGAGTTCCTGTTGGACTTCTTATGAGAGGCTATGACTGCCAACCTGTCTCAATATATTGTGTTTAATGTTAAAATATATTAAGAATTTTTCCACATGTTTAAATCGAGTAAGCTTCTACAAAACGATGATTTAAACTGAAATTTTGCAATCTGCAATCAAGTGCAATATGTTTCTTACATAGAAATACATTAAATAAATAGAAGTGTATTTTTGATTCAAGAATCAAATACAATGCATAGAAACATAGCTTGCTTTCTGTCTGTGCTGTACAAATCCACAGAGGACAGACAGATGGAATAGATAGGCAGATAGACAGAGTGAAATGTTCATGAATTGCATAATTGTCCGTGATCGTTATGACATTACTTACATGTTACTACTATTTTTTGTGTAGTTTTGGCATATGAATGCAGGGGTATATTCACATATCAATACATACTGTACATGCTCTCACACAAATGCAGATAACCTCTAAGAGATACAGACATAATGACATAAAGATACAATCACACAAACACACACATGCAAATACACATACAGACATATGCACACATATATATATATATATTCAGACAGATATACACACATGGTCACAGATACACAAACACACGAATACAATGACACACAAATACACACTTATAGTTATACACAGACATTTGCACACATGAAGACACAAACACAGATACACTCAAATAGTCAAAATGTTAGTGCCAGCTCTAACATTCTACTAGAGCAAGCATGTCAAACTCAAAGCCAAAGACGGTCTAAATAAACAAGGTTTAAATTTACGTGGGATGCAAAAAAAAATAAATTTCAGTTTTCATAGAAACTTAGGTTTATTTCGAAAAGTACAGTATAAAAAAATTCGCCTCACTGACACTGGACGTAGGGCTTACGTAGGGCTTCAAAGTAAACAAAAGAGAAAATTTATTTTATGCATTTGCATATAACCAATGTTTTAGTTCCATTACCTTTGCATATTCAGAAAACTTAATGGGACTGAACAGCTGAATGTATGCTTTCGCACAGCTGCAAAATCAACAAGATAACGTCATTTGTTTTTTTTAACGTCCTATGACTGTGTTCTTCACTTTGGCTGAGATCATCAAACTTGATGATCTCAGCCAATCCAATGCTTTCCCATAGGAAAGCATTGGGAGGCTATTGTTCATGTGTGGCAAAACGCTGCGCAGCCAATCAGCATCTCCATGGGGAGTTTTAAGCGCCTCCATGCAGACCTAATCTAATACACTCCTCCTTCCCCCAATCTAATAAACTGTCCCCCACTTTAATACACTGCCCTCCCATCTAATACACTGCCCCCATAACTTATACTCTGCCGCCCAACTTTTACACAGCATCCCCCAATCTAATACACAGTCTCCCATGGCCCCCCACACTCTAATATACTGCCCCCATCCCTCCCTCCACTCTAATACACTGCCCCCTCGCTTAATCTAATACACTACCACTTAATCTAATACACTGTCTCCACTCCTACCACTCTAATTTAATACAATGCCTTCTCTCCCCCAATTTAATACACTGTCCTCCCCCCACTCTATTACACTACTCCCACTACCTCAACTCTAATACACTGCCCCCAACCCCAATCTAATACACTGCCCCCACTCCCACCTCTCTAATTTAATACACTGCCCTTGCTTCTCCAAATTAATATACTGCCCCCTCCCTCCTTCAAATTAATATACTGCTCCCTCCCTCCCCCAATTTAATATACTCCATCCCCTATTCAACACAGTACACAGGAAGGTCCCCCAAGGCCCTCTTCCCCTAACTTAAGATAAGACACCCGTCCTCTCTTCTCTGCTCAAGTAGGCTAGATGCTCCTCTGCACACAGCACAAAGTGGCCCCAGGGCAGGCGGGCCGCAAATATATTCATTGTGGGACTCATGTGGCCCATGGGCCACAAGTTTGACATGCTTGTACTAGAGTATCCAGACTCCTTACAATAACCTGCCATCCCCTGGCTATCAGTATTATAAGCCTGGTGACTCATGCCATAACTCCTTCTGAGGAAATAGAGGAAAGCTGCTCCTACATGTTCCTGCAGGACTCAGGCCCTGAAAATAAAACATGACATGATCTAGTTGGATATGATAACACTTACGCTTTAGTTAAATGAATATGTAAATTGTATTTGTGAACAGAATAACATGAAAAACTCAATTAAACTGTTAGATTTAGTTTTGGGAGGTTCTGTTGGTTTAATCAGATTAGACAAATTCAACCCACCACTCACTAAATAATATAAATTTTGAGAAAATACGGCAATAAATTCAAGCAAATAAGCTACATTTTACTATAAATTCGACTGAGGATTGTGTCCCTGGGCATAGAACATTCCCTCCTAAAATACCCTGACAGAAGTTGTGTAGGCAGAGTTTCCCATAAAAACAAGGTAACCATCAGGTAACCACGACTGAATTCACAATAAAAAATAAAGGATCCTAACCGTGTCCTAACCGCACATGTGAGCGGACGTGCAAAACCTGAGCTATGCCGGACCGCGGCTCTAAAGCGGCTTAAACAGAGAGATAAAATCTGCAGACCTTACCCAAAACCTGCACAACCGAAGGGTAAACACCCCTGTCTCCCATGGCTACAAAAAAAGGAAGCAAAAAACGCTAAACTCATCTAGAGAGGCATCAAACCTCAGAGCCTACAAACCAAAATGGTGCCGGCGGACCGCGTTCACCTGCATGCAGCTCTGAGGCAGGAGACAGCAACCAAGACCAGCACAGCCCAGCAACCAATTCATCCATCAGGCTGATAATGCAGGAGCTGCAAACCTCATTTAAAGCAGACCTCCTTCAAATGACTGCAGACATTAAAACAGACGTCCACAGCATGGGGGAACGCACTACCCATCTGGAAGACAGGACAGAAGAACTATTGGAGGCTCACAACTCAATGGCAGAGGCCTACACATCCCTGGAAAGCAAAATAAAATTACTAGAAGAAAAAGTGGCAGATCAAGAAGACAGGAGTAGGAAGAACAACATCCGCATAAGGGGTATACCAGAAACCATAACACAGTAAGACCTACCCAGGTATGTCAAGGACTTATTCAAGGCCCTGATCCCCTCCTGTCTGAATTTGACTTGATCCTAGACAGGACGCATCGCCATCACTAGAGTCACTAGAGTCCACCACTTCGCAGTTAAAGATAGGATCATGCAAACAGCTAGAACAACGAGAAAATGGCCGGAAACATACAACAACATCAAACTACTTACAGATCTATCCTCAGCAACCATGCTTAAACGTCGTACATTTGCACAGATAACAGAAGTGCTGAGGAACGCAAATATCCCCTATAAGTGGGGCTTCCCCGCAAAACTACTAATTAAAAGGAACGGCATTGATAAACCCATTATGAACCCGGAAGATGGCAAAAGAATGCTACAAGAATGGAACATACCGCTACCGACCAACAGCCCCCGGAAGAAACAAGCAGCTACCCAAGCACTGAAAGCGCTCTCCAGGGAATGGTCACAAGTACCCCGAGCTTCCAATGCACCAACAGACGGAGAGGCCTCACCAACTTGAGAAGACTACTGAGCTATACCACACCGCTAATATTCAAATGGACTGAACGTCCAGGTTTACTCTATTTTACTCTACTATACTTCTTGACTCATGTTTATAACTGTTTCTTTACCCTCAGCTACAGTAAGATGGTCTGTTAGAAGGCCCAAAGCCTCAGCCGCAACGGGTAAATAAGGCCCAGAGGCACTATGCTCAGGCTCAGTCTATTGTAGATCACTTACCTGTCAGGATCTCAATACTCTAACCCTGAGTACTACACCCCCAAGGCTCAAGTAGCCTTACTTCTCCATTGCGCAAGGCAACTTTATGTCACTGAGAAGTGACTTACGGAACACTGTATATAGTGTTCTTATCCACAGCCTTCTCCATTACAAATGGGACCCGACAGGTATGCCCCCCATCACCCCTTCTGTATATACTCACCCTTGAGCCTTTGGCTCAAAAGATCCGCTCACACCCTGAGATATCGGGGGTCAACATACACAACAAGACGTATAATCTAACTCTTTTCGTAGGCGACATCTTCATAGCACTGTC